AATATATTTTCCTATAGATGTCAGTATTCTATAGACACAGAGGTATGCTTATTGGCCAGTGTAATGAATCCAGAAACTCATCTCTGTGTATTCTCTATAACACAATGGGATCAATGCATTAACCTAATATTAACCATGGCAAATATTTCACTAAAGCCTATCAGCAATTTTCCAGGAGATAGGCAGTGCTTGAAATAATAGTACAAGATTTCATTTTTTATTTTTTCACTGCTCTGTCAAAATACACGTGCAAAAGATGTCAAATTTGGGGGGAGAAGATGATTTCTTCCTTCTTCTGCAATTTTGTGCTCCACATGACCTGGAACACAATCAAAAGTATGCATTCTCTGAAGCAAGTCCTGTTGAATTCAGTATAATAAGTCTATTTAGGATTGCAGCTTTAGCCATTGCACAGTTCACAGCAGTGACGTCCACCATTATAAAGAGACCAAGAATTGGTTTCTTAAACTAAATCCCAAGGGCCCAATGCGTAGGAAATTCTGCTGTGCATGCCCCAGTGAAATGAATGATAAACTGCAGGACAGCATGATAAGAGGACCTTCCAGCAGATTGTGTCCAAAATGCTCAATCTGGGCTCATGTGACTGTTTCTTACTGCCAAAGGTCCTTAAACCAGCTGAAATAAGAGCGATGTTGTGAAAAGCATCTGTTGGGAAGGGTTATAATTGCTGTGGGCTGGCCAAAATAGGGCTCTGGAGCAACATGAATTTTTATCAGTATCCTACTCGGAATAAATGAACATAATATCAAGTATATCCATTCATGCCAAGTGAAAATTCTGTAACTGTTTATATTAGGCCTATTTATCTTCTGTTGTTTATAATTTGCCCTATGATATTTGCTGACAACAAGCATTTACTAGGTACAAAGATGTCACTACAGCTCTCTGAATTAATAGCATGTGTTAATATAACAGTTCCAGGAGCAAAAATCAAACAGTTTCAGATGATACGTTGACCTTCTGGAGCTGGCAAGCACTAGAAGGAGAATGTTTTGTTTGCACAAGAATGGCATCATTTGCCACCTCTTAACGTTGTAGCACATTGCCTCAGGAGATGCTAAGGATTCCAGTACTGAGGACAGAAATGCCTTTCTTTATTCTTTATTTTCAAATATGACAATTTAGTTTTCTCTTAAAGTGTTTCAGAAGGCCCTTTGGGCGATCCCTGAGGAGGGTGGGCATATTTAATTTCAACAGTGTTGCCCATCCATGATTCTGAAATAATTAAGACACAGGATTTTGTTTTCGTTGTGAACACTGGGGTTGTTCTATAATAGTATTCACAGTATATATGCTATCTACAATTTCACATGAATTGAATGATAACTGGGCCTTGCTGGGAGAAATATTTAATAAAGTTAAAAGCAACCTTCCAAACAGCTCATTTCTCTTAGTGGGTAAATGTAGTGCAAGAATAATGGCTGATGATGACCTTTTAATCAAAAAACTGTATGGTCCTAACTAGGGGTGTGCACTTTTTGTACTGTTATTTTTCAGTTTGGGTCTATTGAACCTGAAAAAAAATTGTGTATTCCCCTTAGCCCTTTACAAGCTACATCTAGCTTAACTACGCCTTGTGGTATCTTACTGGACATACTTATCAGCCATACTTTTTACACTTCTATGGTTTCATCTTCAGGGTTTGACTCAGTTATGAGCCTTGGCTGTTTCCTCACATCAGAGTAACTAAACCAGAGTGCTTAGTGCAGACCACGGTCAGCTTGCATATCGGTCTGTTATTGGTCAGGAAGCTACAACGATAGTCTTATTACCAAGATACCCAAAAAGGGGGAGCAAAAAAAAATCAATGCATTCTCTGTCTGAGTAAGGTCTCCTTCATAGTGTTTTCTCCCAAGTTCAATATTACACATGCCAGTTCCTAATAATATCAAGTGTAAAAGGGGGTGTGTGAGAAAAGTGAATCAGGAGCCATATCTTCAGCAGAATCTTGAGGAACACATAGCAAAAATTAATTTGTATGCATTTCCTTTCTTGTCCACCAAGATGGACTTGTCTACATTTATTAAGAAGAAGAAGAGAAGAGATTTGATTTATACCCCGCCCTTCACTACCCGAAGCAGTCTCAGAGCGGCTTACAATCTCCTTCCCCTTCCCCTCCCCACAACAGATACTCTTTGAGGTAGGTGGGGCTGAGAGAGCTCTTCGAGAACTGCTTGTGAGAGAACAGCTCTGAAAGAACTTGTAACTGACTCAAGGTCACACCAGCAGCTGCATGTGGAGAAGCAGGGAATCAAACCCAGTTCTCTCACATTAGATTCTGCGCTCCTAACCACTACACTAAACAACTATTCCTTTGTTGCACTCAAGGTTGAAATGTTTCTCAAGGCCCACTAATTTTTTAACGTTTTTACATGTTTTTACTATGTTTGTTTTGCAAGAGCTCAGGGGAAATGTGCAGATTTGTCAAATGCAAGCCCTTTTGTGTTCTTCAGGGTGAAGAGAAGAGATGAGAGTAAATTAGAAAGGAATATAGATAACTGTTAGAAATTAAGACAACAGTAGGTTAAATAACTACCACTATTAGGTAAATGTGGTAAAAGTTAGGTAAAAGCACATTTCAGTTAGATGGACGTCTTTGGGGAGGGGCTATCATTTAGTGATAGAGCATCTGCTTCAAGGCCTGGTATCTTCATTTAAACGGATTAGGTGGTAGGTGACATGAAAGACCTCCATCTGAGATCATGGAGAGCTGCTGCCAGTCTGGGTAGGCAATACTGACCTTCATGGACCGATGGTCTGATTCATGAGTTCTTTATTATCAATTCCTGGAACTTTTTCCTGCGAGAAGTCAGAAGTCATGATCCAGTAAGTCTTAATGAAAGAGTCACTTATAAAAGGTCACACACTGCAAGGCTGGTGTTTATACAGGGAGTTTCTCTGACTAAAAGAAACAGGAATCTATTTCTTTCTTTGAAATGGAGAAAAACCTGCCTTTTTAAAAGACACTACCAAACCTGAAGCAACTACACATAAAGAATAGTGGACCACCCACTGAAGATTAGGCCATGAAACAAGCTCCTGTTCAACAGTCCCTTATCCACTAGAACAACATTGTCACAGAGCTCAGTGATGTCATCCACACCACCATAGGCTCATTTGCCTATTCTGATGAGATTATTTATTACGTGCAAGGCCCTTCTGCCATTTTCATTAACCAAACAAGACTGTCTCAGTGCCAGAATATGGATACAAATTAGACATAAAAAGTTAGAAACCCACATAAACAAGCTTAAATTTTGCCAGTATCCAGCAAAAAGGCTTGAAAAGGCAGTTCTAGTAGGAAGCTGCTTATCTGTTAGTCATAGGGGGGTTTTACCGTATCATTCTTAGTCTTAATAAGGACAGGAAGGAGGTAGCTCACTACAGAAAATAACCATGCCCCTTCATATATTTTGGTTCACTATTCATCTCACTGTGCTAATTCATCAGTGGTTGGGAATGGTCCACACTTACTCTTGATTGGACTGTTAATTGTTTCGACTAGATCATTTGTGCTTTGCCATATAATGCAGTGTTAGAGTGTTGGGCATCCTGTTTTCCCTTTTTAATTATCATCTTTTTGGTATGTAGCCTTGTATCTATATACTTTTGCTAGCTAAGTGTAACACTAAAAGGCATCTGCTGAAGTGATTCATGAATGCTTATGCATAGCACATGTGTTAGTCTTTAAGATGTCACAAGATCTTATCTATAGATTTCCAAAATACTGTAATTTTAAACAATTTCATAGCTGTACCACCCATCTTGGATATGTTTAAACTCTCTCTTCATGACCTAGAAACATACAGCAAAATGGATTAGACAGAACAAATAATAAATACAGAAAAATACAGTATTGTATTATTTACTGAAGGAAATAACAGGTAAAAATCATGTTTGCTTGTGTGTTTTTTTAAAAAAGGAACCATACAAGTATTGACATGAAAATGCAAATAGCTGTGCTATAAAGGTGGCACCTGAAAAGGTAACTAAACAACTTGAAACCTGAAACTGATAATGCTGGAAATTTTACCTTACCATGATTCAAATGCTTCTGCTCATATGATATGTAAAGAAAAGAAAAAGAAAGGTCATATACAAAATCTGAATCAAGATTTGAATAGCTCAATGTATACTGATCCCTTTGTGCCAAAGGAAATATTTCACTGGGAGTCTTTTAAAAAAAAGATTATCTTTTCCTTGTCAAGGCAGGAAAGGGTGTTGCTGTTGAAAATTTATTTTAATATTAAGGATTATTTTAAATCTCAGTGGAAATATGCAACAATGCAATCTATTTCCATCGTCCGGATGGCGAAAATGCACTCTTTAACAGTCACAAGAGCCTGCCTTGTGTTAGCTATAAAAAAAATATATTTATATTTTTATATATTTATTTATATATTTATGCAGCTACTATGTGCATTAAACAATATTACTATATGAATCTGCATGGATTTGCAACACATTTAATATGAAAAAAGTGGACTGGAACAAAAATGTTGCCCTTCAGCCACCTGTGATAAAACAACGGTGAGAGATATCAATGGTAACATTCCCTCACCCAACCACATGTATCCCGTGGCTATTTTTTTCTCCATCAGCTAGAAACATCTTTGACTTCTGGTTCAAAGTCATCATTTAGAAGCGTAAACAATATCACTAAAACTCACAGCCAAATCCTATGTATAGCTATTTAGGAGTAAGGGCTACTGAATTCAACAGGACTTACTTCTAAATGACTATGTATAGGATTGTAGCTGAAAATCTCATTTTTGTGAACATTGAAACTGAATATTAGCCCAATTTCACTATATACTCCAGTTGGACAGCCCAATTTCACCATAGTGAAAACCTTCTTGCTTTTTTTAAAAAAAGAAAACTTTCTAGTGCTTTGTCAGATATAGTTGTGAAAAAAATCACAGTATATAATCCTACAGAATACAAGAAACACTCTGCTATTTCCAGATATATATCGTGTTTATGGAATGGAAAGAAAAGAAAACCCCAAGACTGTATTACTCATGGAAGTATAGAAAATTGCTTAGCTATGTTATGTGCACCAGACAGTTCTTGTCAGTAGCCTTGTCAATGAGGATCATTGCCCCTGGGCATGAAAAGGGTAACCGTTTGTGACCCTTAAAAACATCAGAGAGCAGCTGGATCAAACAGGGAAGCACTTTTTTGAGCGAAAGCTTTGTATACATTTCCTTGATTAGTCTTACACTGAAACCAAGTGCATGGCAATTGTGTCCATATTCTTAGATTGCAGGGTTGTCTGAGATGTGGGAATGAAATATTTTACACCGTCTTGCTCTGGGCAAGGATGATCAGTGATCCCATGAACTTCTTTTTTTCCCCTTGGAGAACATTTTACCCAGAATTCTATTCTGTCTTTCTCAGGTTACAGCAGTTTAGGTTTCCTTTCCTTTAGTGAGAGGCAGATGAAACGTCTTACACCGGTAGGCCAGTACTGGTGATCTGCCACAGAAATCCTAGCATTGCTCTGATACAATGAAGCCTTCTTTCTCGCCAACTGGTTCCACTTCAGCATATGCAGGATGGCCAGAGCCTCTTCGAAATTTCATTGCAGGCCATCTACTTGGACGACGCTAAAACAGCAAACGAATAACAACACAAAGTCAGATGCTTGGAGTTACACTATTTTGACTGCTAAGGCTACTTCTAAGCAACACTGTATTAAAATATAGTATTTGTACTTGGGATGTGCACAAACAATTCAGATTTTTGTTCAGGAAAAAAATTGTTTGGTTTTTATTATGTGAGTGATGTTATTGATAGTTATTTTCCTGGTTTCATGGGAAGCATTCTGACCCATTTCTTTCCAATTCATAAAATGAAAATTTTCAGAGATTATCCTCCTTACTCATGGGGAGAGCCTCCCTCACAATTTAGGACAGAAAGGAGAAAGTTTGTTTCAGAAGCTGTGTATAAAATCCCCTACTGCCATCCAACTGGGATGACATTTTCCAGGAGGTAGCTGTCACCCAAAGGATCCTCCTGCTAAATTGTTGCACATTCCCAATTGCAAGGATGGGCTTGTCTCCTTACAGCACACTTGTGAATATTGAATTAACTACACTAGATCTTAAATTATATTTAAACCAGGGGGAAACAAGAAAAGAAAAAGCTGATATCCAAACAATCCTATGTATAAATAGAAAATGCTTCCACTCACAGGAAGGGTGGGAGATTATGTCGGTGTTGCTCTTGGCACTGCATCAGCTTTGAAAGTGTCCCCCCCCCCCCATTAGCCATTTTCAGGTTACCCGCAAAGGCCTTAATAAAACATTACACTTTTCCTGAGAAGAACATTCTCTCTCCTGAGACAGATGGAACACCACACTGGAAACCATTCCTAGCTATCTGGGACCAGAAGACAATTGTGTAGCAGTACTAACTGCATGTTGTCAAAGGCTTTCATGGCCAGAGTTCAGTAGTTGCTGTAGATTTTCCGGGCTGTATGGTCCTGACACAGAGAATACTCCATCTTTCTGTGTTATACCTCTGAGGATGCCAGTCACAACTGCTGGCGAAATGTCAGGTCCTACAATGCCAAGACCGCAGCCATATAGCCTGGAAAATCTACAACAGCTAAAGTACTAACTGTGTTTGTATGGCTATACTTCAGCCATACTTCAGCCATCCCAGTTTTTTGTGGGTGCCAATGGGTACCTATGGAATTGGGACACTAGAAAAATGTCTGTGTGCATCCTTGCACATACACAGTATGCTTATGGGTCACCTAGGAAGTTAAAATGTAAAATATCTCCAATCAGGGGTCATTTCGTAGAAAAAGAGCTAGGGGAACTCATTAGCATAAATCATTAGCATATGCCACACACCCTGACATCACCGGAAGTGTGTCATAAGGCCACACCTCCTGACATCACCAGAAATGTGTCATAAGGCCACACACCCCGCCCTTAACGGTCCCAGCCGCCGGTGCTGGCCTTGCAGCTCCACTGCCGAGCCCCATGAGGGGCCCAGCGGTGGACCTGCAAGGCCGGCGGGAGTGCAAGGAAGCCCCGCGAAGGCCCTCCCTGGCCCCAGGCAGGCAGGGGTGGGGAGAGGCAGGGAGGAAGCACGTCATGTGCCCCGCCCCCCGTACCTCACCCGGGGGAACTGTGTTCCCCCGCGTTCCCCCCCCGAAATGACCTCTGTCTCCAATACTGCAAAACTAATTAGTTACTTTGATTTTGTGAACCAGCAAACAATGGCCTATAATCACCTTGCAAACTAGGTTAGGAAACTGAAAACCATGTTTCATAGGATAAACACAAACCATGGTTTGTTGGTTCTGATGTAAATGTATTGTTGGTTCTGATGTAAGTGTATTTTGCCATGAAAAGTGTGGTAATTAATTAGATTGCTGCACATGAGAGGAGAAGGAAGTCCAGCAGTCTCCCACTGGTTTGCCCACACAGCACCAAATCATGATTTGGCATTACCGCTGAACCAGGCCACTTTGTCTGATTCCTACATCTGATCATTCAGACTCTGAAAAGACCAAAAGCTCATGTCAAAACAAGTTAGCCCCTTCTTTTGCTTCTGAAACATCCTGCTCCATAACTAAAAGACAGTTAATATTATTATTGTTGTTTAGTATTTATTAGGTTTATACCCTGCCCTCCCCGCTTTACAGCGGGCTCAGGGCAGCTTATACTGGTTAAAACAAACAATTAAGATCACATAAAATCATGTAAAACAATTCAGTCATAAACAGTCATAATTTATAAAGTGTTGCATAATAAATTAGTTGTTATCGGATGGCATACATTGAGAGTGTACACAAAGTCTCTCCATCATTTTGCTCCTGATCTTCCTAACGCTCAGGTGGTGCAGGTTAGATGTCAAAGGCCAAGGGCCAGGACTGTAGCTGTTACTATGATGTTAATGTAGTGGTGGCTCCTAATTATAGGCCTGGTGGAAGAGCTCTGTCTTGCAGGCCCTGCGGAATTGTAAAAGATCCCGCAGGGCCCTAATCTCCTCCGGAAGCTCATTCCACCAGGATGGAGCCACCACTGAAAAGGTCCTGGCCCTGGTAGTTGCAAGTCTGGCATCTTTTGGGCCCGGGAAGTTCGATCGGTTTTGTGACCCCGACCGTAGTGCTCTCTGGGGTAAATATGGGAAAAGGCGGTCCCTCAGGTATGTCAGACCCTGGCCATAAAGGGCTTTAAAGGTAACAACCAGCACCTTGAAGCAAATTCGGTATGCTATTGGCAGCCAGTGCAGTGACTTTAGCACAGGCTGGATGTGTTCCCACCTGGGGAGACCCATCAAAAGCCTGGCCGCAGCATTCTGCACTAGCTGCAGATTCTGAATTTGCGACAAGGGCAGCCCCATGTAGAGAGCATTACAGTAGTCTAGTCTTGACGTGACCATCACGTGGATCACTGTTGCCAGGTCATCGTGGTTGAGGAAGGGAACCAACTGCTTAATCAGACGAAGATGGTAGAAAGGTGATTTGGCAGTGGCTGCTACCTCGGCCTCCATTGATAAGGAGGCATCCAGGAGCACTCCCAAGCTCCTCACCAACAGCACCCCATCGAAGGATGGGAGTGGAATCCCCACCCCTGCACCGCCCTGACCCAGGCACAGGACCTCCGCCTTCGTCGGATTCAGTTTCAGCCGACTCAGCCTAAGCCAACCAGCCACAGCTCCAGGTCTTCCGGTCTGGAGCCGGACCGGCCACCCAACATCAGATAGAGCTGGGTGTCATCAGTGTACTGGTGACAATCCAGTCCATGCCTCCAGGCAGGGGTCATTTAGTAGAAAAAGAGGTGCAGGAGCTCATTAGCATAACTTATTTTCATATGCCACACCCCCTGACATCACCGGAAGTGTGTCAGAAGGCAACACCCACAGCTCAGGCTCCACTGGACTGTTTTGGATTGTTAGCTATTTGGGGGGGGTGGGACATGCAGATCTGACCTCGCAGAAGAGGGAGAGCTTGTACCTGAATAAAACTTGGTCTTAAAGGTGCCACTGGACTGTTTTGGACCGGGGGGCCGGGGGGAGCTCTGCAACTTACCTGGCTGCTTCTTGCTCTGACTGAGGGCTGCTGGGAGCAAGGGGTGTGGCTTGTTGCATGTGCCTGCCCCCTGGGCTCTTTACTGCTGGAGCTCCACTCCTGTAGGAAATGACCCCTGCCTCCAAGCAATCTGGGCAAGGGGGCGCATGTAGATGTTAAACAACATCAGGGAAAGCACAGCCCCTTGAGGCATGCCACATTCTAGTGGATGCCTCTTGGACTGCTGTTCCACTAGTGCCACCCTTTGTCCCTGACCATGGAGAAAGGAAGCAAGCCATTGCAGGGCAAGCCCCTGAATTCCAATGTTGGCGAGGTGGTGGGTCAGTAGCTGGTGGTCGACCATGTCGAATGCCGCCGACAGGTCCAACAACAACAGCACTGCCACTCTGTCCCAATCCAGATGCCTCTGGAGGTAGTCTGTGAGGGTGACCAGTGCCACCTGTGTCCTGTGCCAAGGATGAAAGCTGGACTGGAAGGGATCTAAGATGGAAGTGTCATCCAGAAGGCTCTGTAGCTGAGCCGCCACTGCCCTCTCTATCAATTTGCCCAAATAGGGCAAATTGGGAACCGGCCGATAGTTGGCCAATTCAGCCGGATCCAGAGATTTTTTTTCAGGAGAGGGCAGACCACTGCCTCCTTGAGTGCCCCAGGGAACTGACCTTCTGTGAGGGACTTGATGATAATCTCCCTCAGGGTGGCTCGCGTAACCCATCACGGCTCACTTTAATTAGCCACGTCGGGCACGGATCAAGGCAGCATGTGGTAGAGCGAACAGCTAGGAGCAATTTGTCAACTTCCTCTAGACTGCGTGGGCTGAAATGATCCAAAACCGGAATCGAAGACATGCGTGGAGCCTCAAGCTCGCTCATTGTTTCAATTGTGGTGGGGAGGTCAAGGCGGAGTGACAAGACTTTATCTGCAAAGTAGTTTGCAAATGCCTCATAGTCTATATCCAATTCTCTAGCATTTGGCCTGCCCTGTGGCAGTGTAGTTATCGACCATATTGTTCTAAATAACTGGGCTGGGCGTGAGCTCACGGACACAATCGGGGCCATGTAGAACTCTCTCTTCGTGGCCTTGACTGTGAAACCAACATGGCAGGAGGCTGTAATCAGGACCTAGATTAGACTATCTCTGAGTACATCACAGCTGTGCTTCTATCACTCCTATTAGGGTAGATCGAATTAAACCGAGTCAACATTTTCAGCAATGATGTATGGATATACACATCTCATGTTTAACCATCCTCTTTTAGAGTGGTAAAATGGATCAGAAAAACTTCAGTTATAGAAGATGAGATGTAGTGGAAACAGCAGCTGTTGAATATAAAGCCCCCTGGCAGCTCGTTGGATGAGCTAGTGGAGGACTGGCATGACCGGCTCTCCGCGGCCATCGACGAGATTGCTCCCAGGCGTCCTCTCCGGACTCACCTTAGGCAGGTGCCCTGGTATACCCAGGAGTTGCGCCAGCTGAAGCGAAAACTGAGACGACTAGAGAGACGGTGGCGTCGCGCTCGTGACGAGGCGTCCAGAGCATCTTATAGGACATTTATGAAAG